CTCTTGTCCGCGCTGAGGACGGTGAAGACGAAAGGAGCAGTCCACCACGAAGGACAGCTTCATCACGCGCGATGTGGGTAACGTCACCACCGAGAGCGCCTTCACCTTTGAGTTTGGCGTGCGCCCCATCGAAGAGGCCAAGGCCCTGGGCATCGATCTTGAGCTGAGCGCTCTGCCCTTCCAGCTTCAGGTACGCAGCAACAGCCCACTTCACATCAAGTACTTGTATTGGTGTACCAGCAGGTGCTGAGAGTAGAGTCTAACTCGTTTTCTTATGCGCGCGGCGTGCAGATCCGCTACACGAAGCTCGACGGCATGAAGTGCATCCGCATCATCTCGCGGGAGCAGAAGGCCACCCGCGACAGGGAGCAGGCCGAGTTGGCCGCCAACGTCGACGTGCTGGGGCTCAACGCCGTGCAGAAGTCTGCCAAGATCGCACAGAAGGGCGAGTACACCGCTGGTATGGTTCCCGCTTGCTCGCTCGCGCTGACCTGCGATCGTTGTTGGCCTCTAACCACGCCCGTCTCGTCTCGTTTGCTTTATTGCAGCTCGCCTGGAGAACTTCACGCACACCAAGTTGATGAGGAAGGTGGCCATGGGCTCGGAGGATAAGAAGCAGAAGTTTGCGGCGTGGGGCAGCAAGCAGAGGGTCCTGGAGTCGGAGCTCAAGAGCGTGAAGGTGCGCGAGTTGGACGAGGGCCTGGCGCTCTCCGATGAGGACGAGGATGACGACGTGTTCGAAGAGGAGAAGGCCGAGAAGCGCAAGGCCAAGAAGGTCGTCAAGGAGCAGGCGCGCAAGGAGAGGCGAGGCGACGAGACCGCCAAGGTTCTCTGGGCCTTCCGCTCGAAGAGGAACAAGTAGAGCACTTGAATAGGCCAAAAAATGCCGCCCAACTTTGCACTTATTTGTCGACTTTCTGAGGTTTCCCATTGGCCCAGCGGACAGCCATTCCACGGGGATGTTGTGGTTTCACGATGCTGACGTCACGCGCCCAACTTTGCACTTTTATGCCGACTTCTTTTCGCGGATTTCTTAATATATTCAAGGAAATAATTCGCGTCCACATGTTTGCTGCGGTGAGAACCTTTCTGCAACCAGCTGCCCGCCTTGTTCTCAACCTGATGGCCACACCACAAGGCTACCCCTGTCTGCACACAGACTGTTCCCTCCGCCTGCAACCAAATGGTCAGCGATGGCCATACCAATGTGCCTCCAACCGAAACCATCACCACACCAAAGCTCAACATCACCACTCTCCATGTGAACGGCCCTGTCCTGAGTGTAACCAGGTATGTGAATATGGTGTAGAGAAGAGATGAGGGAGGTGTAAGATGGGGTGGAGCAGGGCAGGGTGGGCCAGGCGGAGCAGGGCGGCAGGAGGGGCGTATTGAAGTACCTGTACTGATATAAAATAACATATACCTAGATATTTGATGTGGTGGCATTAGGCGCAGCACCACCAGCAGCATCAGCTCCACATCCCTGCCCACACACACAGTGTATGAAAGCCTACACAACCACATCCCACCTCCTCCAGCACCTGCAGAAGACACCACACTGCCAGAGAGAGAGGTGTGAAGGCTGTAGCAGCGCAGAACAGATTCTCACAGCAAAGAGGGCATGAGTGGAGCACCGTGAGAGAGAGGAGGCAATCCTAGAGGAGAAACGTGCCACCAAGTACATGGCGGTTGACAAGCTTCTGGCGGCCATCAAGACAAGCTACTGCACCAACAACAGACTCCAGCATAAGAACAAGACCTACACCACATTCAAAGAAGATGCTGATGAGCTTGTGAAAGAGGTGCTCCCATACCCTTGCCTTCCCCCTTGGTGCACCTCATCATTGTTGCCCACATTGTCATTGCCTGCAGCATCATCTTGCTGTTCTCTGTCCACCATCACATTCACCCACAGTGTTAACCTCTTATTGATCTCCACAGACCATCAAGCAGGTGTACCAGACAGACAACATTGCTGAAGGCATCATGAAGCTGCTCAATGACCAAGTCCTCTGTGAGAAGCTTGCCATGGCTGGCTGCCCACTTGGAGTGGAGAAGAGACCATCAGTAGCAGAATTGCTTGCACTCAAAGATCAGCTGGGGATATCAGGTACCTCATGTACACCATCACCACAGATTGACACTCACCACATGCTATAGATGTCCAGTGGATGGAAGTTGTCCAGACGTTCAGGCTAGAGAAGTATGGCACTGTCCACAAGCTGCATCAGCATCAGCACACACTCAACAACACCCTACCCATCCTCCCAACATCAACCTTGGGGCAGGGCTACCACATACCTCTTCACACCTACCTCAAGTGGCATCTCCAGCAGTTGCCACTGGAGTCATCTCCCTCAAGCACTCCTCTTCTCCTGAAGTTATCATTTGATGGTGCAACGATCACATCAAAGAAATGCACCCAACAGGAGCTCAGTGGCTTCCAGTTCATCCAGCCACATGAACCGCTCTCATCCATCAAGTCGCCAAAGAACTGCCACGTGTGGCTTGTCTACATTGGCGGTGAAAGTGAAGAAGAGCTGCAGTGTGAACTGCAGTCCACCATTGAGGTACAGCCCTGTGCATGGATATGACAATGACCTACAGTTCATTACTAATCAACCAACAGGCGGTGCATCACATTATGACCAACATGAAGCTTGTTGTCACTGGGAAGGAATGGACAATCAAGCCAATACTCACCTGCAATCTCAAGGCGCTCATGAAGTTGATGGGGCTCTATGATGTGTTTCACCCAAAATCCAAGTCCAAGTGCCCCTTCTGCGCATGCAAGGACATGTATGTCCACAAACAAAGCCTGTCAGTACAACAGTGATGAGCAGTGATTGATTGATATCATTTATGTTATATCAGCAAGATCAATGACTTTACCAAAGAGGAGTGGCCATTCCACGTGGAGGAGTACCAGCAAAAGTGGGCAGAGGAGGTTGAACAGCACCAAGGGAGTGGGAAACATGCTTATGCTAAGGATCATCATGGGGTCATCACCACACCAATCTTCAAACTGCCACTCACACAGATCATCCCCTGTAACCTGCACGCCATCATGGCAATCCTCAAGAAACTGGTACATGCTTCACACACCTGATAGTTCCACACACATAGTAGCTATACTGATACCCTCATTTGCAGCTCCACCTCATCATGGTAGATGTCCAGGAGGATCCTGATGTCATCATCCCCATGGAAGGTGTTCTGCTGACAAAGTGTGGGGTCAAGGTCATGCAATCTGAGAAGCCAGCCCTGGCTGTGACAATAATGTGATGATAGGCCAGCACTTGTGTGAGGAGCCCCCAGATTGGCAGGGAGAACTTGATAGGAAGTGGTGCCCGTTCCTGGGGCAGATGTGTGTGGATGAGGGGGCTGATGCTGTTGACGAACTTGTGTAGCAGTGTTGCCCACTTGATTTGCACTGTGACATTGTTCATGTGTACAATTTCGTTCTCCTTCCAGCTGATTGCTCCTGACCACACTTCTTTGCTCTCAGCCTTTACCTCCTGGCTTGCGGTGCTCCCATTCTCCTCCTTCTCCAATTTCACCTTCTTCTTCGCCTCCAATGCTTCATCAATCACCAATTTACGTTTACTGATTGCCGCCTCGCCCTCGTCCAGCTTATCGCCTCGCTCGCTCGCCTCCTCGTCCATCCCGCAACACAAATTAAAATAATACATGCATTTCTTGAAAGAAAAGGGATAAGGCAAAATAAAAAGAGTTTTCGTGATTTTTTTCTCGTGCACTCTTGGGCGGGGACACCGTAAACCCTCATTTCTATTCAAGTGGAGACACCACTCGTTCTGCCTGCGCACCAGGACGTATGTAACAACTCAGGTTGTGCCTTCGCACTATAAACCGGCGCATCCGTCGAAGCACAACAAACCAAAGAAGGTGGACAGGGAGTAGAGTTGATGTTGGTCGTTGGTTGTTCAATCAAGCTAGTTGTGGACAACGCAAGGATTGGGGGCTCACTGGAACTTGGTGTGGCTCTTCTCCGGTAGCGGCGCGGCAGCTTCGGCGGCCTGCTGCCGGCTGGCCAGATTCTTGGCCACCTTCGGGTCGAACTCTCCACCGCTGTTACGTACATCGGGATGGCGCACACACACCACACAAGCAATCGTCATCAGCAAGAGAGTGAGAGAAGGAGAGAAGAAGAGAGAAGAGGATTAGGGTACCTTCTCTTCTTCTTGCGCGAGGGCACCTCTGTAACCTCATCAGTGTCATCCTCGGCGGGCGCGGCGGGAAGAGCGGGAGCGGCCTTCACGGGCTGCGCGGCAGCCGCGGCCTTTCGCTTGTTGTTGGCCGCGGGGCTGGCCGTCCCCTTCTTGGCAGCAGCCGGGCTCGGCGCCTGCTTCTTCGCGGGGCTGGCCGTTGCCTTCTTCGTAGGTTGGGCCGGGCTGGACGCGGGCTCCTTGGTCGGCACGACGTCCATCTTGTTGGCATCGGCCGCGGCGGCGGCGGCGGCAGGATTAGCGGCAGTCTTGCCGCGGCTTCGCCTCCTCTTCTTGGCGGGGGTGGTGGCCTTGGCCTCCTGCGTGGTGGTCTCCGAGACCGTTTCCGCCTCGGCCTGCGGCGCAAGGTCGGCCTTGGCCTGCTGGATGGCATTGGCCTTGAGGGTCGCAGGTGCAACTGCGGCGGCGGCCGTGTTCGTCGTCTTTGTTGTCGTCGTCGTCGTCGTCGCAGTCGTGGCGGTGGTCTCCTCCTTGGCTCCCTCAATTTGGCCCGACTTTCGCTTCTTCCTCAGCCGCTTCTTTTGCGCCGACGTCAGTTGAGCTTCGCCAGCGGTAGCCGCAGTGGGAGTGGTGGTGGCGGTCGTCGTCGACACCGTTGGCGTGCTGGGGGCCGTGGCAGCCTCCGGCGAAGGCTTCGCTGGTGTTGTTGTCACAGTCTTAGCGGCGGGAGTCTCGGGCTTGGCCGGAGTGGCCGGCTTGGCCTTGGCAGGAGTGGCAGGCTTGGCCTTGGCCGGGGTGGTAGAGGGCTTGGCCTCGGCCTTAGCTGGAGTGGCGGGCTTGGCCTTGGCGGCGGGCTTGGCCTCAGCGGCCTTGGCGGGCGTGGCTGGCTTGGCATCGGTCTTCTTCACCTCCGTCGCCTTCTCTTCCACAAAGAAGTCGTCTTCGTCTTCGTTCTCTTGCTCCTCTTCGCCGTTCTCGGCAGTGGCCTCGTCTTCATTCTTTTTCGTCGTGGCGGCCTCATCCACCTCCTCCTCTTCTTTCTCTTCGTTCTCCGCTTCTGCGGCGGCTTCGGTCTGTTCTGCGCCCTCGAGCTCGCCCTCGGCTTCGCTTTCCTCGGTGAGAGCCTCGCCCTTGTCCTTCTTCTCCTGGACGTAGGCCTGCACCCGCTTCTTGATCTCGTTCCGCTTCTCGAGCACCTTGGGGTCGGTCATTTCCTTCACGATCGAGATGTACTTCTCGTTGCGCGGGAAATACTGTGCGGCCTTACAAGTCAGCGCACCACCGCACACGCGTACACATCACATTATCGAACACACACACGACCACACACACGCACGCACGCACACACACGCACACACACAAGAGAGAGAGAGAGAGAGAGATGGAGCGTACAGTGACGTAGAGCAGATCGTCGGCGATTTTGTCGAGCTGCTGCTGCAGAGTGGTCTTCTCCTCATCGGTGGTCGCGGCGAGGAGCTTCTTCTGGAGCGTCTTCTGCTGTCGGTCCAGCTTCTGCTTCTCTGTAAAAGTGACGACACACCACCATTGCAGTCGCGAGGGTGTGAGGCTCCACTACCGCGTGTGCACCACGACACACGATCTGTACCAAAGAACTTGATCATCTTGTACTTGCGCTGATACTGGTCATTCTTCTTCTCCTGGAGCTCGACCTGGCGCTGCTTGATGAGCCGCTCCAACTCGGCCTCCTTTGCCTTCCGCTGCTCCTCCGGCATATCTTTCTGCTCATCGCAAAAGATTAAATTAATTTAATCTTCAATTGTGATCTAAACGTTTCGAATCGTTTCGATCTCGCCATCACAAGGTACCTTGTTTCGGAGGAGGCGCTGCGTGCTGCGGATGAGGTCAGCCGTGCGGACCTTCTTCTTGGGCGGCTCTCCATCCTTGGTGATGGCGCCGGCACCGCGCCTGGCGGGACCCAATCGGCCGCGATTTCCGCCTCTTCTGCCCCTTCCACCACGTCGGTCCTGCCCCTCCTCTCCGTTGTTGTCCGTTTGCTTGGGCATCCTTGTGGTGTTGGCGATTGACAGCTTTTACAATCGAGCGTAGAATGAAGAAAAAGGCCAAAACCGAAATGGCAATACAAGTGCGTTTCGAAAATTCGGAAACTTTGGCCAAATTTGATGGAAGGTTCCATCTGCCGCCAGCGACACAACATGTCCCCCCCACACTCCCTTTGCCCGCTTCTCGACCACCACAAACTCAACCCACAACAACAGACAACATGTCCACGCCTCAGCCGCTCCCTTCCACTCTGCCTCAGCAGGCTACGGCACTCGTGGTGATCGATGTGCAGCATGGTATGCCTCCTCCCTCCACATCCCTTTACACCTTATTATTTATGAGTATTTATTGGCCTATTTATTTATTACATTTTTAATTAAAAAGGATTCGATGAGTTGGCCCACTGGGGCGGCGCACGCAACAACCCGCAGGCCGAGACCAACATCTACGCGCTCCTCACCGCATTCCGGGCCGCCAAGCGCCCGGTGTGGCACGTCCACCACCACTCCCTCGAGGCCGGCTGCCCGCTCAACCCAGACTTCAGCCCGGAGGGCTTCGCCGCCGTCCCGCTGTGTGCGCCGATCGAGGGCGAGCGCCGGCTGACCAAGCACGTCAACAGCAGCTTCATCGGCACCACGCTCGAGGAGGAGCTCCGCGCGCGGGGCATCACGACACTGGTCCTGTGCGGGCTGACCACCAACCACTGCGTGAGCACCACCACGCGGATGGCGGGCAACCTGGGCTTCGACACGTATCTCGTGGGCGACGCCTGCGCCACCTTCGATCGGGTGGGGGTCGACGGGCGCAAGTGGAGCGCGGAGGACGTGCACCAGTGCAGTCTGAGCGATCTGCACAGGGAGTTCGCATGGGTGGTGACCACCGACGAAGTGGTCAAGGCGGTGTGATTTTTTATGGCTATGGTACATAGATCAGTTCTCCTTCTTTGCCTTCTTGTTCTTCTTGGTTAGTTTGGTGTGGCTGTCGGCCTCCTCCTTTTCCTCTTCCTTTTCCTTCTTCTTTCTGTGTCGCGGAGAGGTCACCACTTGAGTCTTGGAGGCAGCCAGATCGCTCGTCTCATTTGCTTCGCTCTTGTCGTCCTCGTTTTTCTGTTTCCTCTTTTCGCCTTCGTTCTTTTTCTTCTCTTCGTTCTTTGCTTCTCCCGTCTTCGCTTTCTCGGCGCCGAAGACATTCTTCCACTCGTCGTCGTCTTCGCTCTTTGCCTTCCGCCGCGTCGCCTCCTTCTTTACAGCGGCTCGCTGCGGTGACCCTGGCAGTGAGGTGGTCGCCGACCCCGTTGTGCCATCGCCGTGGTCCTGCCGAGCGACCGACTGGCTCCGCTGGCGCTCCTCGACGGCCGGTAACGGAGCCGATCGAGACGGTGCGTACATGCTTCCGCTCTTGCGGCCCAGCGACAGCGTGCTGCGTCGGCGACCCGACGACGACGGACTGCCCGACAGCGGCGATGCAGCCTCGTCACTGCTGCCGCCTGAGCTTGGGCTTCTGTCCAGTCGGTTGGTCGCGTCACCGCTGCCCTCCTTGAGATTGGCGAGCGAGGTGCGGAGGAACGTCATCAGCATCTTGCTCGGCGTGTTTCGCTTCTCCTGGCGCTCCTTTCTCGCACTACTGTCCCGCTGTGGTGCTCCGCTTGACGCTCTCCTCGCCGTTGTTGGTCTTCTTCGCTCTTTCGACGTCTTCTTTCTTTCCGTCGGTCGACGAGTCGTTGCTCGACGTATTGGTGGTATCTTCCGCCGCGGCCCAGGTCTGCTTTTTCTTCCTTCCCTCGACGTCGCTTTCGTTCTTATTTTCGCTTTCGCTTTCGTTTCGGTCGCTCATCGCGACAGGCCCGCCCTCGCCGTCCCTGCCTTCCTTGCCCCGCTCCGGGTGGAGCGTGACGTTGTACTTGCGGATCCCAACAGCACGCACGTGGCGTTTGAGGACGTCCACCCAGGCATTGAGCTCGGACCTGTGTGCGTGTGTGTGCGTGTGTGCGTGTGTGTGTGTGTCGTGTGTGTCATGAGTGTCGTGTGTTGACTTGAAAGCTGTAACACATCTCTGCGAGGAAGATGATGGCGTACTCGGATTCGGCAGAGAAGAAGAGAGTGCCGAGGGAGGTGACCATCTGAAGTGAGTGCTCTCTCTTCACCTCGCTGCCCACCCTTCTTACCTCAATCATGCCCTCCTGCAAGCCAGCGATCGGTTAGCGCACGGTGGAGGAGTTTGTGTTGTTAAGCTCAGTTCACGCACCAGTTTCACACCTCCGGCTTGCTTACCGAACAGAACGTCCTTTGAGTGCTTGTAGTAGCGCAGCTCGTCTTTCTTCAACACACACCATCGCTGTGGAATGCAGAGAGGAATGTTGTGTTGGTTTGCATTCCATTCATGAGCAAGGCCCTCTACGAAGATGGGGCAAACCTTCTTCCATCGCGGGTTGGTGCTGGACGAGAGCCACAGCGTTCCTCCCTTGCCGTTGCTCCGGCTGACGGAGATCAGCTCGATCAGCGCCCACAGGCTCTCCTTGATGCCGTCTCCCGATGCCGCACACACCTCCCTGTGTGTGTGTCGTGTGTGTGTCGTGTGTGTGTGTGTGTGTGTCGTGTGTCAACAAACGACACAGAAAAACCATGTAAGATTCCGCATACCTCCAGGGACACCCCGCAGCATCGGCAAACTTCCGGAGCTCTTCAGTTGAAACCTGCACAACCGCACGCAGCACAAAGAAGAGAAATCAATTTGGGAATGCATGTGGAATGTGCGGAAGTAAGACGGATTGTCGAGGAGTGTACCTGCTTGTCGGCGGGGCGGTCGTTCTTGTTGCCCAGCACGAGCATGGGCAGCTCGGACGAGTCCTGATTCTTCACGCGGCACACATCGTCAACGAATCCCTCGCACTCCTCGAAGCTCATCCTGCACGCAACGGACGGAAAGATGATCACTGTCGCTTCAGGCCAACGCATGCAGACTGAGCTCGGGAGTCAAACGTACGGCTGGGTGACGTCGTAAACGAGGAGGAAGCCTTGGGCCGAGCAGATGGCCTCGCGTCGCGCCTCCACGTACTGCTCCTGGCCCGCCGTGTCGATGAACGTCACCACGCCTTTGTGCGCAACGCACACGTCAGCATGTTGAGCGAACACACAACAGCGACAAAAACAACAGAGAGGGAGACGCACAAGCACGGTTGTCGATCACAATGCGGCCCGAGTACTCGTCCTGCAACGTTGGGTCGGCGGTGTCCTCGCCATAGAAATCATCGACCAGGAATCGTGTGATGAGTGATGACTTGCCCACTCCGCCACCGCCCAACACGGCTATGGTAAAGACATCGATGGCTTCGTTCTTTTCCTCCTCTTCGTCCTCTCTTACCAGCGGCATGCCTTCTCGCTCTTCGTTCTTTTTCTTCATTTTCTCTTTCTTCTCTTGCTTCTCTCTCTTGCTTATCTTGTCTATCACGGTCGGCACGTCGCCACTGCTCAGCGAAAGATCGCCGCTCTTCGCCTTGGTGCTCTTTTTCTTCGATCGCCTGATCTTGCCAGAGCTCTCGAACAGCAATGCGCGCTCGCCGGCGGTGGTGGTGAGGTATCGTCCCTGGTCCAAATCGCTGGTGCAGCTTTCGCCGATCTCCGTCGCGGTTTCCCCTTCGAAGGGGAAGTTGAACTTCTTCATCATCACCGCTCGCACGTGCCGTTTCAGCACGCCGAGCCATTCTTCCCTCTCTTTCCTGCGCCAAATCACGTTGGTATGCACACACACACACACACACACCACACACGCACACACGCACACACGCACACCACCGCGAGAGGAATGTGGTTCACCTGCTTTTGGCTCCGAAGTAGAAGGTGCCGGTGGGCATGACCATCACCAGGGCATCTTCGCGTCCCACATCCTTGTGCGCTCGTCGTACTTCGATCATGCCCTCCTGCGTTCACCAAGAGCATGAGCCGCGGATACAATTCACGCGTGCCCGAGGGGCGGCTCGTACCAACTTGATGGTGCCCTTGGGCTTGGACAAGATCGGCATGCCCTTGGTGCTCTTGAAGTAGTTGAGCTCGTCGCCTTTCAGCACAAACCAGTACTGTTCACCAGCCCCACGCAACGTTGTGTGTGTGTGTGTGTGTGTGTCGGTTCGAGTTAGACCGAAAGTCAAGTCGCGAAATGTAGCGCGTGCCGTGCGAGCACCTTCTTCCAGCGATTGAGGGTGCTGGGTGTGATGGCCAGGACCCCTTCCTTGCCCCGGCTGAAGCTCACGTCGATCAGCTCGATCAGGGTCCGCAGCGCCTCCTCCACGCCCATCCCGTCCGCGGCGCTCACCTCCCTGGACGACGTCATAGTGCACGCGTGCCGTGTCTCTTCGTGAGCCTCCGCCGGGGCATGCTAGGGGTGCGAGGCAGTGAACGTACCGCCACGGGCAGCCGATGTCATCGCCAAAACATTGCAAGTCTTCAGTTTTCACCTGCTCGGCCACAGCAATCAGAGACTGAGCGCGGGCGCGCACACGCCACGCACACGCACACGCACACACACACGAGCACAAGGAGGTGAGGTGGTGTACCTGCTTGTCGGCGGGGCGGTCGTTCTTGTTGCCCAGCACGAGCATGGGCAGATCTCGCGAGTCCTTGTTCTTCGCGCGGCAAACGTCATCAACGAATCCCTCGCACTCCTCAAAGCTCATCCTGCACGCAACGGTCCGACCCAACATCGTCAGCAGCCGCCCCCAACAGCTTGTCTACGACGAATAGGGGGGGAGCTACCGCTGGGTGACGTCGTAAACGAGGAGGAAGCCTTGGGCCGAGCCGATGGCCTCGCGTCGCGCCTCCACGTACTGCTCCTGGCCCGCCGTGTCGATGAACGTCACCACGCCTTTGTGCATTCACGACCAGACACGAACCAGGCGACACGACACTCATGTGAGGGCGGAAAGGGGCATGGCTGTTGAGTCCCCCGGAGGGGGGGGGGAAGAGCGAAGGCGAAAGCGAAAGCGAAAGGCGAAGGGAGGCGCGTACAGGAGCGTTGAGCGGATAGGTGGATGCGGATGGTGTACTCATCGCGTAGAGTGGGTTCGTATTCGTCTCCTTCGCCCTCATCCGTCTTGACTATGGCTTCCTCCGCTTCATCGTTCCTTTTGTTGCCTACCCGCTCGATAAATCGACGGATGAGGGAAGATTTGCCCACCCCGCCTCCTCCCACCACCGCGATCGTATAGACACCTCCTCCATCTGCCTCCCCATCTTTCCCCGATCCGATCTCCATCATAAGTACAGTGTTGTAATATTGTCGAGTTTGTTTTTTAATTTCCGTTTGGAATTTAAATATCTAAGAAATGTTCTTAACATTCCTTTGATGCCGCCAGCTGCTACTGTTTGACGGAGAGCCGCTTGGCCTGCTCGTAGGTGATGGTCATGAGGAAGGACACGGGGGCCATCGACATCATGCGCGCCGTGATGCCCTTCTTCAGCGCTCGCCAACCTAGTGATACGTGTATGGGGAATAACGGCCGTATGTGTGAGCTTTCAAGGGCTCTCAGACACATGACGCAACACAGCACAAAGCAACCCACGCAGGGCACCTTCTTCTCGGAGCAGTTGCTTGGCGGTCGCCCAGATGGAGATCTTCTGATAACTTCGAGTTGAAGAGGCGATTGGTGGCCGCTGGCTGCTGGTCGTGGTCTGCTGCTGCGGCGGCGGCGGCGCTGCTTCGGCCGAAGTCGCTGGGGAAGAGGGTTGGTGTAGGCCAGCACCTGGAGCCGGGTCTTGACTACGTCCATCGGGTTGGTCACCACCACTGCAACAACGAGCGATCGTTTGACGTGTGCGGTGAGACACATCCACAATCATCTACCGTGGGACACACACACGTCGAGAGCGAGCGGAGTGAGGCCTGTACCGGCAGTGCTGCCGGCAAGAATACCACAGAGCCCGAACACGAGCACATCCAACTGCCGGAGCAACCCGCCCTGTTCGTTGATGAATGCGGCGGCCTTGCCCTTGACTGTGGTTTTTCCCCACCGTACACATCAAAGAACGAAAGAACGAAAGAGAAAAGGTTTGAGAAAACAACCAAAGAGTCGTCAGTGAGTGGTATGATTGTACCGCTGGCGTAGGTGCCCCACCAGATGCCGGACGAGGGGACGTAGACCATCATCGACGCCGTATAGCCGCGGTACAGCCCTCGCACCCCCTCCGTCTTCAAAATTTCGCAAAACGCGTCTGGTGATGCGCACATGAGTGAGCTTGCGAGCGATCACCACACCAGCAAGCAGCCAAGCAAGCAAGATCGGCTGCGCGAGGTCGGTACTACGTACTGATGCCGCCCGAGTACTTCCGCTTATTCACCGTTCCGTCCTGTGTTGTGCGAGTGAAGGAGAAAGAGGGCGAGGAAGTGAGTGCTAGGCGACGACACGGTGGGCGTGTCAGGCCTCTCGTACGGACCTGGATCATGAGAAGTTGAGAGATGACGTCGAGCGGCACGCTCACCAAGGACGAGGCCAGCGAAGCCGTGCCGCCTCCGATGAAGTTGCGAAGAGCATCTACTCGATGGCGAATGAAGCATCACAACGAGAGCGTCGATGAGTATTCGAGTAATGTAGGGACACATGAATCTGGAGGGAGTTGATGATTGTGGTGTGCGAGACAAGGCGCCGCACCGTATCTCAACGAGTCTGTAGGGAAAAATGACTTGATTCGATGTCGCACAAACTCGTAGACTGTGATGTACATGAACTGGCCTGCAAGAAGAATTGACATGTAGCACAGGGGAGGTCAGCAACATACACTGACCCACTCCTTTCGTCATCGTGTGAGCGACTCCATACCGGGAATGATGCCCACCGATGTGGTGAGGAAGCCCTTGTAGAAGCCTGGCGTCGTAAGTAGAGGAAGGTCAGTTCGCACGCACGCACGCACGCACACCAGCTTGCTAAGGTTCATGGCTCTTCACATACCTCTGAATCCCTCCAGCTTGAATATCTTGCGGAATGCGTCAAAGGTGCCTCGATACTGCGAACGCCCCTGATCGGTCGCGCAAGCAAGTGGAGTCAGCTCGCTGGCGCGTGTGTGGTGTGGTGTCGTGTGGCGTCGGTGTGCGGTACCTGCTGCACCTGCAGCCTGGTCTTGATAAGAATGGGCGGGTAGACCAGCGTCCGCACACCCATGAAGAACGCAAAAGACCAGACGTAGAACTTGGACTTGTCTGCTCTCACCACACATGCATCGATTATTGTGTTCTTTATTAATGATTTAATTTAACACGGTTGCTCCGCCCAACCACAAATCACTGCGTCACAGTGTTGAAGGGGGAGGATGGGGGCGACGCACCAAGAGATTGCCAGTCGATGTCGTCTCCAACGAAAACGCTCCCCTCAGCTGAATTGATTTCCGATTCCATGGCACCGGAGGTTGAGCCTTGAGCTGAATAAAGACGCGTCTCTCTATGCACTTTGTCACTGCAGAAGGGCAATCAATGGGAGATGTGCGAGCAGTCGACACCTTCTTTCCTCCCGAACAAAGAGAAAAAAGTGTTCTTTTACAGGCTCTGGCAGAAAATGCAAAGAAAACACTAAAAACACCACGCTCACTGGTCCTTCTTGTTGTCATCGGCGCCACCATCAGCTGAAGTGATGGCGGTGCTGGTGCTGGTGCTGGTGCCGGGCTCGGGAATGGTCACGGGCGTGCCGGACGCGTCCTCGTCCTGCGGCACGGTGTCCCAGAAGTCGAACACCACCTGGCGCTTCCATACGTTGGGCGACACCTGCGGCCGCTTCTTGTTCAAGTGGGTCTGGGCTTCGACGGGCTTCACCCCAGGATATCTGCGCTCACCGTGTGAGGTGATGCACGTGTGCGGTGGTGCGGTGGTGCGGTGGTGCGGTGGTGCGGTGGTGCGGTGGTGCGGTGGTGCGGTGGTGCGGTGGTGCGGTGGTGCGGTGGTGCGGTGGTGCGGTGGTGCGGTGGTGCGGTGGTGCGGTGGTGCGGTGGTGCGGTGGTGCGGTGGTGCGGTGGTGCGGTGGTGCGGTGGTGCGGTGGTGCGGTGGTGCGTTACCTTTCGATGAGGTAGCACAGGACGATGGTGGTGCTCCGTCCTCGGCCAGCCTTGCAATGGACTGTGCGCGGGGAGGTGACATCAGCCGACGAAGTGGGGGGGGGACAACTGGGCCAAATCTCTAGAAATGTGTTCTATGTACCATAGACGCTGTCGCCGTTGTTGGTGTGCTTGCGGATGAAGCGCAGGGCCACCTTCACGTCCTCCAGGGTTGGCGGGAAGTAGTCCACAATCGGGACGCTGAAGAGGTACTACTCGGTCAGCTGCCACATACGCACACGAGCCACGCACACGCACACGCACACGGCGCCCAATAAAAGAAGAGGGCAGAGCCGGTACCGGAGCTGTTCGATGCCGTAGCGCGCGTAGGTCTGAACGGGTCCGGCGTACTCATCGCACGTGTTGACCACGCCCCTCACGCCCTGGTTGTACAGCAGAGGTACGTGCCTGCACATTCCATCAGCGGCCAAAGGGCAATTCGAGACAACAAACGCGCCGTGAGATACACGCGCCACGACACGACACGACACACAGACGAGGCGAACAGGAAGAGGGTGCGACGGTACCAGTAGAAGGGAAGAGCGCCCAGGATGATGGAGTCGTCAACACGGTCCCACCAGTTTCCTGCAGCGGTTGAATTATTATCAATATTTTTATTTATTGATTTATTTGTTAATTTATGGTAATGATGCGCTGGCGTTCAATGTGTTGACGATGTTATTAGCGCTCGCTAATTGGAGGGGGGCGGGTACGGAATTTGGTGGGCCAGAGGTAGTAGAGCGTGACGTTGTAGATGAGGGTCGGATAGAACAGGACGCGCGAGATCCAGAGCGCCATGAATTGGGGCGCCCATCCTAGCGGCTCCTTCCGGTAGTGCTTCGGCCGTACGTGTTCCGACATGTGCGTCTCTCTTCCGTCTTCTTCTGTTCGTCGCTGGCGAGCTCAACCAACAACAAAATCAAAAGAGCAACGGGAAAATGAAAAACAAATAATTACAAAAATAAGTTAATCTAACAAACGCCACAATGCTGCATGCGCTGCTGGTGCTGATCGGCTCAAGTGGGCGCGTTGTGTTCGAGAAAGAGTGGGTCAAGACCATCGCTGGCGTACGCTTACCCTCTCCCAAATACAAATCATGAATTCTCTCTACAAATTAATCACATTATGGAAACAAATTTGTTGTTAACATGTTTTGTGGTTGGTGTGGGGCGGAGGCAGAGGGCAACGCTGTACGGAGGTCTGCTGACCACCATCCAGACCTTGTCCAAGCAGAGCCTCGCCATGCACCCCTCGTACATCGAATACGGCCAAGGTACCTTGCCCTCCACATCTCTCTACGCGCCCGTGCCGTCGTGTCCAAGCGCGTGCGAATCTCGCTTAACCCGTTGCTTTGCAGTGGCGGTGACGGTAGTATTAGACGCCGACTACGAGAAGACGAGCATGGTGTGCGCTCTGTTTCATGACATCGACGACGTACGTCTGGCTCACCGCGATCGATCGCGCACTGTCATCGGCTTCACACCGCGACACACACCGCGACACACACACACACCGCGACACACAGTACACGCACGCACGCACGCACAACCGCACACGCACTAAAACACTGTGCCGCCGCAGGGACCAGACTTTGGCCGGCTGATTGCCAAGGCCATCCTCGCGGGCTTCCTCAAGGAGTACCCCGAATTCACCGCCGGTAAGTGCCGTGCATGTGTGGTGTGGGCCATCACAATGCTGTGCGACGGAGCGCCCGGCTAAGCGTGCGTGTCGTGTGTCGTGTGTCGTGTGCAGCGGCCCGCAAGCCATCGATTCAGAATCAGAAGTTCACCAATTTTGCCAACAAGCTGGTGGACATCATCTCCAACGCCACGCAGTCCATCCTCAACCAACGTACGCCGCCTTGCGCCGTTTTTTCTTTACCTTGGGGGGGAGCTCATCGTGTGTGTGTGTGCGTTCTCTGCAATTCAGTGAAAATGAAGCACAAAGGCCTGGTGAGTTCCCTCCTCCTGTTCGACGAGGGCCAACAGCCCGTCACATCAGGTGCCCCCTCTCCGCCCCCCTCCCACCATTGTTGGCCGGAGCACTCAGTGCCTACCGACACTGTGTGTCGTGTCGTGTGCGCGCGCGTGCTGAATCCTTCTCGGATTGCAGGCAAGCTCGACGACCACGTCGGCGTGGTGGCCAACCTCCAGGCGCTCATCACGTTCTCGGATGGCATCAGTACGCGCACCCCCATGTTCCGGTGATGATGCCGATGGCTGGTCGGGGTGTGGCACACAACTCACCAGGCCAAACAAATCGTGGTGACCGCCTGCGCAGTGTCGGAGCGGCAGGACGTGGCGCAGTCGATCACGCTGGAGATGTCGGAGAAGATCGTGTTCATCCACCGAATACGGAACGGGCGAGCCTCGCTCGTGTCCATCTGCAAGAAATCCATCAAAAAGAGTATCCACCTCCAGTACATCGAAGAGACCGTCACCCTTCTCGAAAAGCGTACGACAGCTCCCTCCCTACCACCTTCACACACACGCACACCGCACACGCACACGCACACCACCTGGTGTACAGTTTTTCTTACCCTGTGTGCGTAGTGTTCGTGCTGCAGTCCAACCTGATGGCCGACCACTAGTGGTGACCTGGACAGCCCAAGGGCTCCTTTGTACAATCTCGTCGGCCAGTCGTAATCACAACAACTCAACAGTGTAAGAAGGCGATGCGAGTGGTCTGTGACACGCAGGGAGTGTGTGTTTAAAGTGGTGACGTAACGTTGTTGGTTGTTCTTGTGGTTTGTACAGAAACATGGGTGGTCGTCTGCCAAGGGAAAGGGCAGAAGACGGGCACGAGCCTCGGTTGGGTGGGTGCTTCATCGGTCGAGTGCGGTCGCGCGCGTGCGGTAGTGCGCGACTCACTCTTCTCCGCGCGGAGAAGAGAGAGCGGTGCAGAATAGATGAGAAAGAGAGAAGAAGAGGTGGAAGATTCAATCAAACACAGAAGGAGAAGATTGGAAGAGAGGAGATAGTAGGTAGGAGGAGGTTTTGAGAGAGGAGTGCTGAGGTGGATGATGTGGTCTCAAGCAGAGTGAGGGGCTCCAGATGGCGCTGGCGTTGTCGCTTCGTCCACTTGGACGACCGGACGCTGCTCTCCTGCAGTGAGACGACTGAAACACGACGGAGAGTATGTCAGCTATGTGGGGGGGGGGTGAACGAGTAGCTGTGTGAGTGAGAGGTGCGTACTGAAAATCGATACGGTGGATGTGCCGTATCTGCTTGCTGCACATGGGACACTCGCTGCCAATGGTCACACGGCCCGAGCTGTGTACATTAATGGGGGGAGGGGGTTAAACAATGTCATGATCAGAGAGATGCTGATGATGGTGGTGGTGTCGATGATGGTGCGCACCAGGCGTTGCAGAAGGGGATGTGTCCACACGGCAGGCACACGCTCTCCACTCGCTTGCTCCGGCAAAGGGCGCAGTCAGCCGCTGCTGCCTGCACATGCGAACGAATCAACAACCGAGACGCGGTGGTGTATGTCAGGACAACTGCTGCGGTCGCGCTAAACACAACTCACAAGGAATAGAACCAATCGAACACACACACACACACACACAAGACGAACGACACACAAGAGAGAGTGGTGGACAACTTTACCGTCAAGAAGAGCGCACCTTCAGGGCGGCGAGACCGGCCTTCTTCATCTGGCCCTCCATCCGCCGGAGGAGATGATCGTAGATGAAGTCGTAGCTGGTCTTCATTCGCCGCTCCAGCGCCTTCAGCTCGAGCAGCGACATGCTCCCCAGCTCGGTCGGATTGCCCAGCATCCGCTCGTTCTCCCGCCGCAGCTTCTTGTTCTCTTTCCGGAGCCGTTCGTTCTCCCTCCTCAAAATTGCGTGCTCGTCGGCGCGGGCCGCGGCCATGGCGTGCTCGTCGCGCTGCTGCTGCTGCTGCTGCTGCTGCTGCAGTTGGGCGTCGACGCCAGTGCCTGCGCCGGCGTAGGCGTTGGTCCAGCCGACGTCGCGGAAGCCCTTCTGCTCGGCCAGCTCGTGCATGAGCAGCTCGAGCGCACGCCGCTGCTCCTCGATGATCATGAGGTAGCCCCGCTCCGTCATGTCCTCGTCGTCGTTCTCGTCGTGGTCGACGATGCTCCACTCGTCGCCGGCGAACAGGCTGCGCTCCTGCTGCTCGACGCTGCTGCCCACCTCGCCGCTGCCGCTGCCGCTGCCGTCGTGGTGGCCGCCGTTGTGGGCGTCGACAACTACACTGTCGACCGTTGTTGATGACGACGACACGTTCCGATAGCCGTTGCGACCGGCGGCGGCCGTGGGCCGCTGCTTCGCGCTGTCGATGTCGGCCGTCAGGGCCAGCATCTGGGCATAGGGATGCTGGTCTGGTGCCGACGATCTAGGGACCGCCACCCGAGGCGACACCTGCTGCTGCGGGCTCGTCGCCTTGGACGCCGCGGCGTCGGCCTTGCGTCGTCGTCGGTCGAGCTCGGCCTCGTCCTCCTCGCTGCCCTCCTCGTCCGTGTCGCTATCGTCGTCGTCGTCGCCCACGACAGGACCGAGGATGCCGTGCCGGCGCCGGCGCTGGTGGTGGTTGTCGTCCTCGCCGCTCTCCTTCTCGTTCTCGCCGCCGCTCTTCTCCACCATGTAGTGGCCAAAGTAGTAGAACGAGTCGTAGTCGGGCGAGAACAGGGAATAGTCGATGGCCTGATCCCCCTCCTCTCTCCCTTCCCTGTTGTACGCGTCGCGTAAGCAAGCTGTGCGCATGCGTGTGCGTGTGCGGTGGTGCGTGTTGCGTGTCTTTGGGGGAGTTGCGCACCGCTTGTTGATTCGAAGGAAGGACGAGTAGGCGAGAGCCTCGATCGTCTGCGTCACATCGTTGTAGTCCAAATCGACGTCTATCACGGCATCGAATATCTCGCCATCGCCGTCGCTGTCCAGAAACACAGAGCGTGAATACACCAAAGAGTAGAGTAGAGAGAGTGTGTGTGTGTGGCGTGCGCGTACATGTGGCTGGCCCCGTTGACCTTCTTGACCTCGCGCTCCTTCTCCCGCTCGATCTCGAGTTCCTTCTTCATGGACTCGAGCATCTGCACCTCCTTCTCCTTCCGCTTGAGCTCCTCCTTGAGCTCGGCCACCTCGCGCTCCTTCTTCTTGAGGTCGTCCTTCTGGTCCACCTTCACCTTCTTCTTCTCCTTCGGCTGCGCTTCGCTCGCCGGCTGCGGCTGTGCGGCCTTCTGCTTAGGCGGCGTCCCGTTGGCAGCGACGACCGGGCTCTCCTTCTGAGGCTCTGCGGCAGCGGCAGTGGCTTTGACCTGCGCTGGCTGCTGCGCGGTGGCGGCGGCCTTCTCCTTGGCCGCTGCAGCAGCGGCGGCGGCGGCTGCAGCCTTCTCCTTGGCCGCCTTTTGCTGCTGCTCCTTGAGCTTCTGCGCCTGCTGCTGTTGGGCGACGAGCTCGGCCTGCTTCCGGGCGGCGTTCTCCCGCTCCCGCTGTTCGTGCTCCTTGCGCTCTCGCTCCTTGGCCTCGAGCTGCAGCCGCTGCTGGGCCTGCTGGGCCGCCAACGCCGCCGCCGCCGCCGCCGCCGCCGCTTCGGCCCGCTCCTTTTCCTCCTTTTCCCGCAGCTCACGCTTGCGCCGCTCCTCCATTTCGATGCGTATCCGTTCCTCGATCTCCTTCCGCTTCTTCTCGATCTCTCGCATCTTGCGCTGCTGCTCCTCCTCCAGGCCCTTCCGCTTCTCCTCGAGCTCGAGCGTTCGCGCGTCGACGAACCGATGCGCTCGCGAGGCCGGGTCGATGGTGATGCTGCCGCCGCCGACGTAGTCCCGCTCCTCTTCCTCGTCGTCATCGTCGTCCTCGTCATCTTCTTCCTCCTCGTCGTCCTCGTCGTCTTCATCGTCGTCGTCGTCGTCGAGGTCGGCGCTGTTGGCATGGTAGGCGTGCGGGTGGTGATGCGGGAGGTGCGCGTGGGGATGCGCGTGGTGTCCGAGGTGTCCGGCGCCGCGCTGCAGCTGCTGCTGGAGGTGTTGGAGGTGCTGGTGCTCGGCCGCCGACAGCTTGCCCTCGCTCTTGGCGCCCTCGAGCCACATCAGCTTGCGCCGCTCGCGGCTCTCCATCTCGCGGATCCACTCGTGCTCGGACTCTGTCAGCTCCCGCTCGTCCGCGGCGGCCAGCAGGGCCTCCTCGTCCTTGGTCAGCATACAGTCCCCGGCCTCGGACACGAACCCCATCGACCCCGGTGGCGACGACTGCCGCCTGGCCGACGGGACCCTGTTCAGGAGCCCGCCGCCAGCTGCCGCGCCGTTCAACGCCCGGGGCTGCGCCAGGCCGTCGGCGGGCTTCCCGCAGGCGGCGCCGGCCGCCTGTGGCTGCTGCCCGGCGGCGGCGAGGCTCTTCGCAGCGGCAGCAGCGGCGGCTGATGGTGGCTTGGCCGGTGGGTCGGTGGCCTTCATTTGTCGCTCCTTCTCGCGCCGGAGGAGTTCCTTCTGCCGTCGCTCCCGCTCCTTCTCCTTCTTCTCCTTGTCCCGCTTCTTGGCGTCCTGCTTCCGCTTGGTGCGGCCCTTGATCTTCTTCTTCTGCTTCTCCATCATCTTCATCTGCAGCACCTCCTTCTCGATCTCCTTCTCCCGCTCCCGCATCTCGATCTCCATCCGTTTGGCCTGTTCCCTTCGCAGCAATCGCTTCTTCTCCCGCTCCCGCTCCAACCGCTCCTCCTCCTTCTTCTCCTTCTCCCGCTCCCTCTTCTTCTTTCTTCGCTCCTTCTTCTTTTCCTTCCGTTTTCGCTCTTTCTTCTCTGTTTCTGTTCCCACTTCGCCTGTTGTGTTGTGTTGTTGTGTCGCCCGAGGTTAGTGAGTATGTACGCAATCGGTCGAAGGGGCAGCGTAAGCGAATGAGGTGGCGTTCTTTGCTTACCTAACTTCTCGCCCTTCTCCTCCTTTCCCTTTTTACCTTTCATGTGATAGTCCTCGTCGTCGGCATCCGTGCGCAGCAGGTACAGCGTATCGCCATCCTGCGGTGGACGCAACGTGCACCTGGGGTTCAGCTCTGGACACGGGTGTCGTGTGTGTCGTGTGTGTGTGTGTGTGTGTGTGCCGTGTGTGTGTCGCGAGGGCCGCGAGGAAACGCACCTTGACGAGGTAGTGCCCCAGGCACTCGTGGTCCTCCAGCGGCTGCTGATACTTCTCGAAGTAGAGCTGCTGCTTCTCCGCTCGGATGCCCTGTAGTGGCGTAGCGTCGTGGCGTGAGTGAACGAGTGGACACAGAGAACGAATGTCGCAGGCGGGGAGCTGTGGCGCACCGCTTTCTGCTCGATCAGCAGCTTGACGGAGCCGATAGGGTCAGACGTCTTGGCCTCCAGGCGGTAGACAAGGCCCTGGTAGCCTTCCCGCTCCCTTCGCTTCGCGTCGCGCATCCGTTCCCTGTGGCATGGTGCACGAAGTGGTGGGAGAGAAGAAGAACATGGTGGCAGTCTGTCAGTTCTCACGCGAAAGCAAGCAGCTTCGTTGGCTGCGAAGTGGAAGGAGATCACAGAGAGAAAAAAAGGAGTGTAGAGAAGATGGATGGATGGCGATGTGATTGAACGATGCAAGGGGCGATGGAAGAAATTGAAAAATGAAGATATAATGTTGCTGAGAGAGGGAAGGCGAACCGCTGGTTCCTCTCGAGGTCGGACGGAAGAGCGGAGGCCGGGGGCACTGCGGCGAGCGCGACTTCGAGTGGAAGCTGCTGCTGGGCATACTGCTGTTGGTAATGCGGATGGTACTGCTGAAGCTGCTGTTGCTGAAGTTGCGTGAGGTGCTGATGGTGTTGATGGTGCAGATGGCCGCATGCGGGGGCGCCTCTCGTGCCGCGGGGATCCTTCAGGGCCGCCGCACACAATTCGCCTCCGGTCGGCGAATGGATAAGCGCGTGGGCGCCCAATCCATCCACTGCCACCGCTGCCGAGGGATTCGTCGCATCGCCGCCGAGTACGCCCAAATTTTTGACGAAGAAGGTGATTTTCTCGACGTAGAGGGAGATGCGGACGAAGAGCTGCAGGCACGATTCCTTCTGGATGTTGTAGTCGGCCAATGACCTGCCGTCCTCGAGCTGCTTGCCAGCGCAGATGAGGCGCTGGAGCTCCTTGGGCACGCCCTCCTTGTCGTGCACCTTCTGCTTCACAGTCTCTACCGTGTCGCCGCTCTCCACCTCGAGCGTGATCGTCCGCCCCGACAGGGCCTTCACGAAGATTTGCATTTCGATGATGTTCGAGTCGTGGAAGAGGGGGGAGGGTCAATGTTCGCTTGTGTGAGTTCGGCGGATGTCGTCGATCTCCTTCCTCCTCCTCTCCCGTGCGCGGTTCTGGCTTCCTTCGCAATCTCCAACAACACAATTAAAAGAATTGCTGGGTCGCCCTAATTGATGAGCTGATGACGACGGCGGAGTGTTCTCTTCTCTCGCTTCTCGCCACGTCTCTCGTCCGTTTGTCGCTTCCCCGATTCACCACTACGAGTAGGGCTCCAGCGAGTACGAGACGAGGCAGGGTGGTGGGGAGTGCGGCCCGCGGGGATGAAGATGGCTCAGGCCTCCTTGTCGTCCACGTTCCCGCTGCTGACCAAGAAAAGAATAACGTCGACACCTGTGGGAAATTGAAGACAAAAGAAAATGCCCTGTGAAAGAAACACCGCGCGAGACGCAACACGCGACAGGACACGACGCACGACACACATAGCACATGACAGGAGCGAAGGAGGGAAACAAGAAGAAAGGGGAGGGAGTTTGCTCATCATCATCATCGTCATCGTCATCTTCTAGAAGATGTCGGTGTACTCGGGCTCGGGCAGAAGGAAAGGTTCGATCTTGACCACCGACTTGCCCTCGGGAAGACCCAAAACGCGGCTGTCCACTTCCTGCACGAACCACGCACAACAACATTGAGTGCGGTTTGTTGCGCGAGGAGCGAGGAAAGAGCGCGGCCGCCTGAAAGGCACATGTGACGAGGGGGGCTTTCTACGAACCTTCTGCACCCAGACGTGGTTGTTCTGCATGTTATACAGGCGGAAGACGTGCCCTACGTCGTTCTGTACCGCCTGCACCTCCCTCGTGTACGGGAATAGAGGATTGGCCTCCTTCTGCTCGTTTGTTGTGTGTGTGGTGTGTGTGGTGTGGTGTGTGTTGCGTTAAAGGTGAGCGTACTCTCCAGTGAGAGAAGAATGGAAATGCATACGAATGGCTTGATCGTTTGAATGGTGTCGTAAGCGAGTCGGGCATAAGAAACGGCATGTCCCAGCTTCTCCTGCTCGTAGTGGCTGGCGGCCAGCAACCGGCCGCACACGGCTTTGTTCATGGTTATCTGTTACCGTAGAGCGAGGAGTCAGGCATTGCAAGTGGTGCGTGCGCAGTCGTGCTGCGTTGTGGGGGGGGGGTTGACCTGAAGCTCCAAATACTTGAGGAAGTGCTTGTTGACGAGCCGCTGGTTGGGGTACATCTTGGCAAGAGAGAGCGCATTTTCAAGCATGTGGCACACCTGGTACAACCAAGGAGAAAAGAGAATAAGTCGGTGAGTCGGGTTGGTGTGGCCATGCCCCAGAGAATGAGCGGACCTCAGCGGAGAGCTTAGCCACGATGCCCTTTTTCATGCCGTCCGCCAGAGCCTTCTTGATGGTCAGCTGTTGTGCCAGAGCGAGGCAGACGCTGAAGAAACGCAATCAGCACTCACCTCTACTGTGTCGCGCGTGAATAAGAGAGAAAGAAAGTACATGGAAAGCGCCTTGGCAATGTTGTGGTTGCACTCGACTGCAGTTTCTCTGTCCGCAACACCGACCCACCGCGGAATCTCTGCGTGAGTTGCAACGAGGAGGAAGTGAGTACAACACGCGCGATCGCCCACATTGTGGGCCAGGCGCGAGCATGCAAACCGGTGTCGGCCAGGTGCGTGAATACGCCAGCCGCCTTGCGGAGGAGCAGTGCCGCCAGCTTGAGGTCCTCGTCGGGCTGACCACCACCAGCGCCAGAGTACAGCACCTCGCTGGCACGACGAGCGTAGCCCAGCCCAAGCGTCTGTTCAAACAACAGACACGCACCACCGCACACACGACACACGCTCAGGCCTAGGCTTTGAAGAGCACCTAGAGGGGGGGGGGCGTACGTTGAGGGTCATGACGAGCTCAAACTTGAAGTCCCAGTCGAGGTACATTTTTCGTGACCCGGTGGTCTTGTGCTTGGTCTTGCGCAGGGACGACGTCCACTTGAAGTTGAGGGGCTCGTTCAGGTGCAGCCGCGGCTGGTTGGTGAGCGCGCAGGCGAGGCCGCACAGCGACGGCAGGTACCGTTCGGCCTTTTGCAGCACCAGCGCCGTGCTGACCTGGCCGCCCCCGGCGGGGGTAAGCGCGGCGACCAGCTCTTCGCGCAGGGCCGAGGTGCGCGAGACGTGTCCACGTGAGGCCCCGTCCGTGGTGTGGAGGGCGCGCTGGATGGCAACCGCCCCAGCCTTGGGCAGCCGAAAGGGGAACACGATCACCGGCTGCATGCCCTTGCCACCACCCGCTTCATCGTCGCTCGAGTTCTGCATCTCCTGCTTGTCTTCGTCGCCTTACTTCTGGCGCAGAGTTGTCTTTTCTTTTTTGTTTCTCTTTCCTAAAGAAAATCAAAAAGCAATTTTTGGTGACGTCAGCGCTGCGCTTCGAAATTTCTCAGGTAACCAATGGTGTGCAGCCGCGTCGCTCACGGACTTTGGCTGCAACAACAAGAGTTGTGGAGACGAGGCCGAGCTGCGACGCGAAGGATCGTGTGAGATATGGGTTCAGCGGTTGCCGGATGGCGTGTATCGGTGGCGGTGGGCGTGGCGCTGGCAGTGCTGGTCTTCCTGGTGTGCGCGTGGGAGGTGAGCGCCGGCGATGACTACTACGGCCTGCTGGGACTCGACCGAAGCGCATCCGATGCTGACATTAAGCGAGCCTACAAGAAGCTGGCCCTCAAGTGGCACCCCGACGTCTACAAGGGAGCTGATCAGGAGGAGGCCAAGAAGAAATTCCAGAAGCTCTCTCACGGTGCGAGCCTACCCATTTATCTTTTTACGTTTTTTTGCGATTTCTCAGATTAACCGCGATTTAGAGGTGATTACGCGAAGATGGAGAAATCAGGAGGGTGAAGGGACCGAGGAGGAGTGAGTAGTGGTGAGTGAGGACAATTTGGCGCTTTATGGAGTGAACAGCCATAATTAATCTATTCCTTTTTATAATTGTGGGTGTAGCCTACGAGATCTTGAAGGACAAGGAGAAGCGCGGCATCTACGATCAGTACGGTGAGGAGGGTCTCAAGCAGCAGGCTGGCCAGCGAGGCGGCGGCGGCTTCACCGATCCCTTCGATCTCTTCAACTCCTTTGGCTTCGGCTTCCCTGGTGGCCAGCGCGGCCAGCGTCACGAAGGTTTCATTCCTCATCTCCTCCTCCTTCTCCACCGCCAACGCTCGTGTCTGCTGCACCTTCTTCTTCACCTTCTCCATCCACTCGCCATCTCACCTTTCGCAATTCTCTCCTCCTTCGCTTGTCTCAAGCAGAGGAGCGCGTCGGGCCGCCTCTGCACGTCGACCTGGAGGCCACGCTGGAGGACCTCTACAACGGCCGCACGCTCACAGTGACCCAGAAGAAGCAGGTCCTCTGCCACCGCTGCCGCGGCACCGGCGCGGAGAACCCCGACGAGGTCACCAAGTGCCCCGTGTGCGGCGGCTCGGGCGTTCGGCTCATCACCCAGCAGCTGGGTCCCGGCTTCATCACCCAGACGCAGACCACGTACGACCTTTCGCTCCTCCTTCTACCCCACACACCCGTCTCTTCTTCTTCTTCTTCTCTCGCATTGCATTGCTAACAGCGCCGCTGCCCCTACGCAGTTGTGACAAGTGCGGCGGTAAGGGTAAGATCGTTAAGGGCACCTGCCCCGTCTGCAAGGGCCACAAGGTGGAGAGCGGCGAGGACACCATCACCGTCATCGTCGAGAAGGGCATGCGCGAGGGCCACGAAATCGTATGTGTACCACCACGCTCACTCGTCAGACTGTCGCTTGCCTAATTACGCTGCGTGGCTCGTCATTCAACGACTTTCTGACCCTCTCCTTGGCACGCACCGGCACTGGAACACAGAGCTTCCAAGGCGAGTCGCACGAGCACCCCGATTACCAGCCCGGCGATCTCGTGTTCAGGATCAAGACCATTCCCCACGCTCGCTTCGTCCGCAAGGAAAACGATCTTTACATGAACGCCACCATCAGCCTTCTGCAGGCCCTCGTTGGCTTCAAGAAGACCTACAAGCACCTGGACGGACACGCCATCACCATCGAGCGCAGTGGCGTCACCAGGCCAGGTGCGTAGCCCCCCCCCCTCTCTTCGTGTTCTGTGCCCAAGTTTCGCTCACGCGACGCGACGCGACGCACAGGCCTCGTCATGACCGTGCCCGGTGAGGGTATGCCCATGTATGAGGACTCGGATCGATTCGGTGACCTGCACGTCGAGTTCACGGTCAAGTTCCCCACCACCGTCACCGACGAGCAGAAGGAGGGTACGTGTCGTCTTGTTTGTCTTCTTCTTCCTCCGGCCCTCCTTGTCCGAGCTCCGTAGCACTGACGGACACCGACACCCGACGACTTACACAGGTTTCAAGAAGCTCCTCAAGAAGGAGAAGAAGGATGGTTCATCCTCCGCTGCGGCCGAATCGTCGACGTCCGACAAGACCGAGCTGTAGAAGTACCACGTGTGATTGACCTCGGGTACCCGGAGGAGGGAACCGGCCCCCCTAAGGAAAGATTTTCTCAGTCACGACTTCGTTCCCGCATGCGCGCAAGAGAGAGTGGTTATTTATTTGATGAGGACGAGGAGAGAAGTGCAACAACAACAACAACAACAAAATAAACGTGCTTGTGCCAGACAACACGCAACTGCCGCCTCACCCTGGGCAAGGAGAGTGTATTGATAACTTAGCACGGCACAGCTTCGATGACGCAGATGTCGTGGCGCAGGATGTCGGTGCGGGTGTTCTCGTTGAGGTTGGAGAGCACCGCGGTCATTCCGAGGAGGAAGGTGGGGCTCGACAGGGTGGCACAGGTCTGCTGCAGCATGGTCGCCACGTACTGAAGCGGGTTCTGAAGGCCCAGCTCCAGGCCGTTGATCAGCTGCTGCAGGTCCAAGTCCACCGCTCGGTACCCTTGGTAGGCCTGGGTCAGGCCCGGCGCGAAGGCGGCGCAGAACCGGACCGACGGCGCCAGCGCGTCCACGCGCGCCGTCACGTTGGCGATGCGCTCCTTGGCGTAGGTGCACACCTCCGGCACACCGCTGCAGTTCTTCAGCACGGCCTCCCAGTAGGCCAGCTCGGACTCGAGCTGGGTCTGGCTATGGTTGACCCGGTTGCAGGCGTCGAGTCCGCCCGACGCGAAGTCGGCCACGGCGGCCGTCGTCAGGTTCTGCCGCAGCTGGAGCAGGGTCTGGGTGTAGCGGCCGAGAACCTGGACAAGTGCGGCACTGACGTGGACCGTCACATTAAAGAGGCCGGAAGCCCACTCGGCCTCCAGCGCTGCGCGCTGGGCGGGGTCGGAGGTGGCGTCCCACTGGCGCTTGAGGGCCAGGCCCTGCTGGCAGTTGGGCAGGAGGGTCGAGTTGAGCAGCTCCTGCGTGGTGGAGGTCAGCTCCGATATTTGGGTCAGCGTGCCGCGGAGCTCCGTGGCGGCCAGCTGGGCGCAGCCGGCCTTGATGCCTTGGCTGAGCGCGTTGAGCTCCGGCGGGGCGTAGAGGACTGCGCCACAGAGGGCCGATGTGACCTTCTCGAAGAGCGGGACCACGCCGTACGCGGGCGGGTTGGGGCAGGCGCACATCTCGACCGAGTCCGCAACCGTGGCCCACCCCGCGAAGAAGACCAAGACCGCCCAGAGCACCACCTTGTCGGCGTGCATCTGCCACCTTGCGAGGTTATCCAACAACAACAGTTTTCTTCCGCTCTCTTCTTCCGCCCCTCCCCCGTTGTCTCTGCCAAAAGCCCGATTGGTCAGCTCCGCCCGACTTTTACAAAAGAACAGGCCAACAGCTTATCGATCAAGTTTATGAAGAACACCACTCACTACCTGAGACGCTTGAGAGCTTCTTCAAGTGACAACTCAGCGCCGTCGTCCCACAGGACCTTGCCGCCCTCGAGGATTTGGTCATCTCGCCAGAAGCCCTCGTACCGCATGTGCTTCAAGGCCTCTGAAGAGGAGTCGCCGAGTCCGGAACGTGGAGTCGAAGTGGATGGAGGCGCAGAGAAAGATGATCGCCGCGACGTGCCGAAAGAAGCCGTTGGGTAGGGTGTGTACGGAGAGGACGTAGATGTAGAGGTGGACGAGGGCGAGGGCAAAGGCGAAGAGGAAGAGGGAGACTGTTGTGCTGGGTTGGCGGGCGGGGAGGTGGGCCAGTAGAGTACGCCCCTTCCCTCCCGCTTGTCGTGCTTCCACTCGCCCTCGTAGCGGCTGCCATCAAAGTACATCATCGTGCCTGCCGACCGAGTGCACAATCGATTACGATTAGGCGAGATCTGATACCATACGACGAGAGAGAGAGAGAGAGCGTCGCGCGAAGGGAGATGATTACTTACCTTGGCCGTGTCGTTCGCCGTCGAGCCAGTGCCCTGTGAACTTGCTTCCATTCTTGAATCTGGTAAAGTCGCCACGACGTTCGCGTGCCGATTACAGAGCGGTCAGAATGGTGACCGCTGTGGCGGTCTCACCGCACTCATCGCAATGAAGGGTCGAAGCTGGAACGTACAAGAGGGTGCCGCGGCCAGTGAGCTTCCCATCTGAGTATTCGCCCTCGTACCGCCACCCGTCACTGCACCACCAGAACGCCGGGTGGGTGAGATAACACGGTTACGAGAGGATTGAGTGTGCACAAAAGAACGAAGGCGAACCGCGTACCTCCACACATAAATGCCCCCGTCTCGCAGTCCGTTCTTCCACATGCCTATGTATGTGTCGCCTGATCACCCAAGACATGACGACGACGACGACGGTGAGCCAAACAGCGACACGGAGGCAAGGCCTGGAGTGTGCGGAAATGGGCGACGGCGTACCGGAGGTGTACGAGGCCCGGCCGTAGCCGTTGAGTCTGCCCTGAGTGCTCCACCCTTCGTACTCCTCGCCGTCCGACCAGAGCTCTATCCCATAGCCGTCCAGCTCTTTCTCCTTCCACTCGCCCTCGTACCTTCATAGGAAAGAACAAATAATTAAAACAAATAAATAAACAAATAATTAAAACAAATAAATAATAAATAATAAAGGACGGCGTACCTGCACTCCTTCGTCCGGTAACAACAGACCTCGCCGTCTTTGATGCTGTCCTTGGAGTTGTGGACCACCTTTCGCGAGAGAAGAAACCACCACACACACACACACACACACCAATCACACACACACACACGAGGCGAGGGTGAGCCACATGAGGCCACTCTTGGGCATTGGGGTGGAATGGGGGGAGGAAGGGGAGAACAGGGACAGAGTGGCCGTACCGCTTTGCTTCTGTACAGCCACTCCCACGTCTTTCCGAAGGGTTCTTGAAAGAGACGGTTGGGGATGGGCGCGAACTCGCGCAGGCAGATGACCCTCCACAGCGTTGGTCCTTTCCCAGTCTGCGCACGCACATCACACATTCCACCGATCGACCACCCGCCAACAACAAATCGAGCATTAGCCGGCGAGCAAGTCGCCATCGTCGTCGCCATCAGGTCATCGTCATCTCATCTTTATCGTTTTCGTTGTGTTGTTGTTTGTGTTGGCCGGCGCGGAGGAGGGTAAGGTACCGATTGAACTCGGAGCTGGTGAGCCGGATGTGGCCCACGTCCTTGCCCGAGAGGAAGGAGAGAAGGTGGAGCATGATCTCGACCGGCAGCACCACGAAGCTGCCCAACGGACCGCCGGCCGCTGCGGCCGCCGCGGCCGCAGCCTCGGCATCGGCGAAGGCCCGCATGGGCGAGATCAGCCCGGCCTCGGCGGCCGAGCTGGGCTTGGCCTTCTTCGCCCGGCCCGTCGTCATCGCCTCTTCCGCTTCGTCACCATCGTCCTGCTTCTGGTGGTGGTGGTGGTGCATGTGGTGGTGCGCAGGGTGCTGCTGGTGGTCGATGTCGATCTCATCGTCGGCCTGGTTCAGATCCTCCGCGCTGACGAACTGGCCGTGAGTCGCGCCGCCGCCACCGCCGTCGATCGCCACCGACGTGCCGAACGGCGAGACGTCTCTTCGCCGGCGCTTCGTCGTCAGCACTTGTTTGCCCGTTGAGAGGCCAGGCCCGCTGCTGTCCATCATGGGTTCCTGGTGGTGCTCTTCGCCGCTTGATGAAGACGACGTAGTGGTGCGTTGTCTCTTTCTGGCTGCCGTCTGTTGGTGCCGCGTCTGTGGTTGCGTGTGTTCAGCTCCATCCTCTCCTGCTTCTTGTCCTCCTTCTCCTTCTTCGCTTCCATGGCACGTTGTTGCAGTAGAAGCGCTGCTGGTCGTGATCGTCGTGCCATCGTGATCCTCTTGCTCCTCCTCTCGCCACTCGTCGGTCTTGTCGTCCGCCGCCCTCTTCCTTTTCACCGTTCTCCTTGGCATCCTGATCTTGCGCTACGTTTGGTAGGTCGTGGCTCTGGTGGTCGAGAAGAAAGGGGGGGTTGCTTTAGCAACTCGCCCAAGCCAACAATCAACAACCACTCACCCATAAAAAAAGAGCACGAACGTGCCAAAGAGCTACAACATCGACAGCGAAAGGAGATGATGGAGAGCGTAATTGGGATGGAAAAGATATATCCTCACGATGTGTAAAAATAAAAAGAAATGAAGATGGGAGGGAATGGGTTACCTCCACCAGAAGGATGGGAATGGATCTGGCGATAGTCGAGAGGCCAAAGACGCGAAGGCCAAGTATGTCAAGCAACGCGTACCAACCCACCGTACACCGATAGCAACGGGAGCAAGCGGTTGGTGTGCGGCCAGCTGATGCGGGGACCAGAACTTGTAGTTACACGGAATTCAACTGAAATGTAGGTTACGCTCCAGCGACCGAGCCAACTGGTACACGCCGTGTGCCATGAAGGTGAAGAAGACGATTGGCAGATGGAGATGGGAGGGGAGATCGCGCTGTAGTAGTGCAGATTCCAGGAGAAGAGGGGGAAGATGGTGAGGGATGGGCCATTTTCAGTGCGTCGGGTTGTGATAGAAGCCCTGTGTGCTCTCCGCGAGTATTGTAGCGAATGCAACGTGGAACTGCTTCAGCGGACAGGTACTTATAAGCTCGGCCAGGCCAGCGTCAACACAAACAACAACAACCTCTGACTGCACCAACACTCACCACCAAACTCGGCTCGTTACTCAAGGTGTGCAGCCCACTGTGATCATGTCCTCGTGTTGGCAGACACCTTACCGCTGCTGCGTGTTCTTCGTTGTGTGCGCTGCAGATATGTGGAAGAAGATATTCGTAGTCGTTCTCGGCGTCCTCACGCTCAAGCACTTCCGAGACAGGAGGCGCAGGAGGAGGGGCGTCGCCTACTAGACCTGGACCCGCGGCGAGACGTGTGTGGGGAGAGGCTTCTTCGAGTGTGTAGAGACAGACCGAGGAACAAGAGCGACGAAGAGGCCTCTGGCTGTGTTTAGGCAGCGACGTGTGCACTTGCGAGAACGTAACCAGCGCACGCTGCATACCATCAGTAAAGAGCTTCTCTTCAATTCGTGTGAACGGAAAGGCGGAGGTGGATGGGGGTGTGCTTGAGAGTTCATCAGTTCAGTTGTCGCCGGCCGTGGAAGAGCCCGCGCGCCGCGAGGGAAGGCGGAAGAGGGTCCACTGCTCGGCGTCGGACTGGTCGGCGGCGAAGCGGGCCAGGTGCGCCGTGGCGAAGACGAGGAAGGCCGCGCTCACGCCCACCAGGCTCCGCTCCGTGCAGCCCGCCGGCAGTCGGTAGGTCCACACCGCCAGAGAGCCCACCGACGCCACGAACGACGTCCACACCTACACAACACACACATACCGCAGCGATCAGGCCAAACACAACACCCGCGCTATGTGACTGGGCGGTGGCGCCGCGTGAGTGCGCAGCACGAGAGGCGGCTGGATCGTACGGCGACATTCCAGAGGGGTCGCGGACGCATGGCGTCGATGAAGTCCCGGAGAGCAGCGGTCGGCACTAGCGCGCCGGACTGGAGGAAGTAGTCGAGCTTCTGGGCCTCCTCGATGCCGCGTACGGTGCGGGTGAGAGCCCAGGTGGCGCCCACCGCGCCGAGCCACGCGCTGCCGGCCCAGGCCCAGGCCCACGGCCCGCCGGTCTGCACCGTCCGCCAAGCTCCCGTCCGCACCGCCGCCCAGCCCACAGCGCCTGCCCGGGTTCGCATGTGTGAGGGCCGTGATGGCGAGCGCACTGTTTGTAGAGGGGGGGGGCACGTACCAAGGCTGGCGAGGAAGCCGAAGTAGGGGTCGACGGATGCTGTAAGGCCACGGTAGAGGCTCTCGCTGAGCACGCTGCTCACCACATCATTCGCCCCTTCGCCGCTCTTGATGTCGGGCTGCTCCATATCTCGATTTATTGGATTTATTGTTTATCTTTCAATTTTCATGTTTCTCTTCTTTTTCTCAGTACTCTTTGTGGTTATCGACCTGCACGCACAATCGGAACACAAAGATGGAGGGTCCGCCAGGAGAGGATGAAATATGGAAGTACCTCTTGGCTAATCCCCAGGTAGAAATGTTCAGCTTCACGTGTTGAATTATTAAATCTCATTTTATTAATCGATTCAATTTTTTCCGGCGTCGTAGGGCTCATCTGCAGATGACTTGATGGCCCAATTTCCAGAGCTTCATCGTGCCGCGCTCGTCTCCCTCCTTAACAAACTCACAACGGAGGTACTGCATCTCTTCTCGTCCTCTCGTTTGCATGTCTGACGTGTTGGGTTGGCGCACGCAGGGTCGAGCAGAGATCTTCCAACAGCCCAACAAGACGTTGGTGTGGAGGGCCGTGGAGTTCGAGAGGGTTGAAAAGTACCATCACCTCCTCCTCTTTGTGCGAGGCAGGCCTGCACGCGATGGCGTGGCTGCGGTTCACTCACGCACCTCTCTCTCTCGTGTGTGTGTCACAGGTTCAAAGGGTTGACACAGGAAGAGCGACTAGTGTATTCGCTCATCGAGAAGGAGGGCAACATGGGTAACGCAGATGCGCCTCTTGCCTCGTGGTTTGATCAATGCACTGGTGACTTGAAGACTGATGCACGTCACCTCTCTTGGCTCCTCCACAGGGTTGTGGACGAGGGACATGAAATTCAGGAGCAACCTGCAACAGACGACCATCAACAAGATCCTTAAGACCCTACAAAACCGAAAACTCATCAAGGCCGTCAAGTCGATTGCGGTACGTTGCATCGGACGCTCATCGCGCTCGCGCATTGTTCTCTTGCTTCCTTCTTCTTCTTCTTCTTTGCGCCTCATCGAGCGCTCGCACACAGGGTCGAAACAGGAAGGTGTACATGCTCTACGATCTGGAGCCGTCGGTCAAGGTCAAGGGTAACGCATTCTACACACCGGTACACACCCGCCCTCCAACACTCTCCTCTGCGCACGTCACACGTCGTACATTCACGCGCCGGAGGAGAGACTTACGCCCGCGTGCGCTTCCGTCCGGATATGGATAGGACGGGGTGTTCGACAGTGAGTTTGTGAACGTGCTGAACAAGCACTGTTATCGGTATATCGAGCAGGAGGGCTCCGTCACCCTTGGTACTCACTCTCCACTTAGATCTACGCTTCTTTTTTGGTACCAAAAACGTCAGAAAGCGCGCAGTGCGGCGTAGCTCTCTCTAGCTCACCACCTTTGCGCGGTACAGAGAGCATGGCGTCGTTTGTGCGAAACTCGGGAATGTCGAACGTGGAGCTCAAGGATGAGGACGTGCAGCAGATCCTCGATACCCTCATCTACGATGGCAAGGTGGACAAGGTCAAGGACGCCGGCATCTCCATTCCCGTACGTTTCACTTTTACAGGCGAACGGTGATCTCGGGTGCGTGTAACTCACCCTCACCCTCATCGACGCGCGCGTCGGCATGAACGTCTCTCAGGGCCGGCCCAGCTATGTGTACAAACCATCTCGCGTGGCACCGCCGCCAAACGGACTCACGCAAGTGCCCTGTGGCCAGTGCCCCGTACCATGCCATCTCCAGCGCCGCATCGTGGTGTGTTGTACTCTGACGTGCTGACATGTGTCGCGTGGTGTGTGCTGTGCGTTGTACGTTACGTCAGGTCTTCTACATGTGCGAGGATGAGGGAGATGTCACGCCAGCCAAGTGCCCCTACCTTACACAGTGGCTTGACACCAAGTGGTGAGGCATCAGCTGCAAATAAAAAACAAACTATGTTCTCGCAGTAGTGTGTGAACCAAATGTGTACATTGTAATTACTTGTGTCGGCCTGCTTCGGTTATTTGAGCTCCTTACTTTTCAATCAATCATCTCCGAATGATGAAGACAGCGGCCACCTTGTTCTTGTTGGTGGTAGTGGCCACCACGGTTTTGGCGGCGGCAAGTGAGCACGGCGGTGCGGGTGCCGCGCTGCCTTCGTTCTTCGTGTACGAATGCCCGCGACCGCTCAACTGGGATGTCGTGCACGACATCTCCTCCCGCTTCATCCTTTCCGACTGCTCTGGTACTCTCCTTCAGTTCATTAATGCAAATAAATGCAAAATCAATCCTTCTTTTTTTCATTAATTCAATCGATTGTGGTCACCATTACCAGGCCCGGCCCGGCAGCAGACGACAGTGAAGGCGTGCTACGACAACGAGCACCTGCGTCTCTTCTTCATCAACAAGGACGACAACGTTGAGTCGAACTACCGCAACTGCAACGACCCGCTCTTCAACCAAGGTACAGTCGCACGCGCGCAACGGACCGCACGCACACGCACAACAACACGCGACGCGACACGAACTGAGAGCTGGGGCACACAGACGTGGTCGAGGCCTTCATTGGGCCGGCGCGCGTCGATGGCAAGCCCATCACCAACTACCTGGAGATCGAGCTCAGCCCGAACTCGGTCCTCTTCGCCTCCAACATCACCAACCCGGGCCTCACGTGCAGCGTACGCTCTCTCCTGCTCCACACACACACACGCACGCACACACACGCACACACCACACACACACCACACGGCAGTCCCCCCGGAGCAACTCTGACCACCCGCACGACCGCACACACTTGTTTTCCTGCAGACCATCAGTGGTACCTACTTGCCCTGCTCGCTCTTTAACTACAAGGCCACGCGGTTCGACTCGCGCAAGATCTGGTGCGTTCGCCCCCCGCCCACCCACCGCGAGAACCAAACAGCACTGTGGACACTCACTCACTCGCGTGCGTGTGCGTGTGCGTGTGCGGTGGCGCCTGGTAGGTGGGGCCAGATCGACCTGCCGTGGGCGGTCCTGCACAAGTTCCGAACGGCGGAGCAGCAGCAGCACGACGGCTTCCACAGCATCGTGGGCGCACCCGTGGGCTCCACCTGGCGCACCAACTTCTTCAGGATCGACCGCCCCGCCGCCACCCAGACCAGGGTACCTCACACACCTACTTCCTCTACACACTGTAATAGTATTTCTTTACAATCACTTTTTTGCTGCACGCACACGCCAGGAGTTCAGCTGCTTCTCGTGCGACGAGAGCTCGCCTCCTTGCTTCCACAAGCCGGCCTACTTCGCCTATCTCCACGTCCGTTAGAGCGAGCACACATGCAAGCTCTGCTGGCTCGCCGCCCCACTTCATCACACTGTCGCTGGTCACGGAGGGGATGGTGTGTGAAATAATAAATAATAATTGGGTGGTCCAGAACAGAGACCGGGGCAGGCACCCGCTACAGCTTCTCCTTCTTCTTGTTCTTCGTCTTCGTTTTCTTCTTTTTCGCCTCTTCTTCTTTCGGTTGCTCGCTCGGCGGAGGTGTGGTGCCTTCGTCGCTCGTCTTCCTCCGCTTCGGCTTCTTCGTCTTCTTCGTCTTCTTGCCCGCTTCATCAGCGTCGGCTGCTTCTCCGTCTGTTTCCTCCTGGCCCTCCGCCCTCTTCCTCTTCTTGCCTTTCCTCTTCTCCTTCGCATCATCCTCGCTCTTCGTCGTCGTCGCCTTCTTCTTCTCCTCCTCCTTGTTCTGGCGCGCATCTTCCGTGCCATCCACCTCGTCGTCTGCGTTCTTCATCGTTTTCTTCCGCTTCTTCTTCTTGCTCGAGCCCTTCTTCTTCAGTCCATCCTCATCGTCGGCTCGCTCTCGTCGCTTCTTCCTCCTCCGCGCCTTCGCCTTCGCCTTCGTCCTCCTCATCTCTTCTTCGTCTTCTTGGATTTGGAAGTTTTGATCATTAGCAAACTGCCCTTCTTCTTCGCCTCCCCCTCACCACCACCGCCGCCTCCTTCTCCACCGCCCTCCGCCTCCTCTCCCTCCTCACTCTCTCCCACCGATCTACTCCTCTCTATGCTCTCCTTCTTGCTGCTGTTCTTCTTCTCCTTCTTCTCCTTCTTCTTCTCTTCCTTCTTCTCCTTCTTGGTGCTCTTCTTACCTTTCTTGCCTGGCGCCGCCGCTGCTGCCGCGGACTGTTCCTCCTCTTCCTCCTTCTTCTCCTTCTCCCCGCGCTGCTCCTGCTGCTCCTTCTTCTCCTTCTCTTTCTCCTGCTGCTCCTTCTCCTTTCCCTTCGCCTTACCATTTACACTGGCGGCACCGTTGAACGGCTGCGCGGGGATCGACGACGAAGAGGCCGACGTGGAGATCGACGCGCCCGACAGCGGCGATGGTGTCGGCGTCGGTGTGGATGTCGATGACGCTGTTCGTCGCGAGTCCTCCAACTTCTTCTTCTCCAGCGCTTCCTGCATTGGCAAATGCGACACACACACGAGTCAGCCACTGCTCGGAGGGTTTTTGCGCACGAAGGCAGCGTACCTCTCTCTGCATCCGCCGCACGAGCTCGGCGCACGAGGGCACGAGCTTCTTGTTCTTATTCCACATGTCATCGAACTTCTCGTAGTACTTCTCCACCACCTCCTCGGGGGTGTTGAGTGCCTTATGCCCTCCATAATCGATCACCTGTTGTACGACGAAGGCCGATGATCAGCATTTGTTCGTGTCGTGCGTACGTGCGCATTGTGTGTGTGTGTGTGTGTGTGTGTGCGCGCGCGCGCGCGCCTCTACCTGCCACAGTCGCTGCTCTTGATCCCAGAGGAGGTTGTGCGGCTTGAAGTTCTGGAGGTAGATCTTCTTCTCGCCCACCTTCCGGAAGAGCTGGATGAGCTTGCGGAAGCTCTCGTCGCTCGTCTTGGCGCCGTCCATCTCCCACACCTTGAACCACTCCACCCCGGTGATGCCCTCGGCCCACTCCTTCACGGCGTAATCGTCACCCGCCTCGAGGATAGCCGTGTACTTGCACACTTGAAGCTCTTCCAAAAATGCCATCTTCTTGCTCTCTGTGTTCGACGCACACGCCTCAGCGTAAGCGATGTCGTGTGCGTGTGCGTGTGCGTGGTCTCGAGAATGGTGAAGATACCTCGTTGCATCGAGAGGATCACCTCGGGCTCGTACTTTACACACACCTTGAGCCCGACGATCTGTTCTCCCTTGCCATTCATTGTTTGTGCCTGTCATGATGCACACCTCGCGGTGTCAGTGATGTCCGTTGGAGCCCTTCGCTTTCGTGCGGCGCAAGCGTACTTTATATACAGCGCCAGTGTTCCCCTTTCCAGCACACGATAGGACCTTCAGCTTGTATCCGGACGTCTTGATTACCGTACCAGGCGTCAACTCGAGCTGCGTGCACCACCCACCCACACCATGGACGAGTTGAGTTGCGCCCTCACCGCTTCATACATTTACTTGAGTGTAGTAGTTAGTTCATAACACGTACCTGTGGGCCGATGGAACGCCCTGTGGTGCCCATGCAGCGCTTGATGATCATATCCTGGCGTGGGAAAGGAGCGTTTGGCGACTGTGCATATATGCGGCTACGCAGAAAGGCCTGTTTGTGCCGGTACCTTGATTGGGTCGGGTCCTTCGGTAAAGGGCGGTTTGGAGAGGACAAACTTGGAAATGTCCCTGTCGGCGTCGCCCTTCTCGACCACGCTCTTGATCCACTCACGCATGATCTCCATGGGGTAGTGCCGCGTTGTGAAAATGTACTTGGCCAGCAGCTAGTAGAGAGAGAGAGAGATGGTCACCAATGCGAAGGAGTAGGATCGAACAGATCTGACGGGACAAGTGGGCGCGTACTCGATTGAAGGCAGGAGAGTAGTTGATAAAGGCCATGACCAGGCCCGGTTCGCTTGAGAAGTAGGGATTCGACAGGATGTCCTTCATGATCGCTTCGGCCAACCTCACATTGTCGCCGAACTATACATGCAAGCAGTGAGACGTTGAAGAACGTTCGCTTTCGTTTTCAAAAAGAACGAAGAGCGAATGGGGCAGAGCTGGAGACCTTGGATTCTTCAATCAGCGCCCGCAGGAAAGCCACGTTCTTGCGCTTGCGCTTGACCTCATCGCTCACTGGAGGAGACACGCAGAAGCGAGCACACGAGCATGAGCAACGTTGAAGGTACGAGCGCGGCAAGCACCAACGCACTGGGAGTGCCCGACAAAGCGCACCCGCAGAAGAGGCAGGAAGGAAAAGTACGTTCGGAGGAGTTGATCTGCATCAGGGCAGGCTCCACTTTCGGAAGGATGTTCGGCAGGTGCTTGAGAAAGACATCTGGTGGCGTTGTCAGGCCCATCTCCGCCCGACCGCTCGTGATTTCAAAATGCTCCTGCACCATAAATAAGAGTCATTTCTCTTTTCGCGATCCACAGATCACTCACCTTGACAACCACGCCACGATTTCGAAAATTTGAGGGTGGCTGTGGAAATGCCCGAAATGCCTTTCATAGGTGATTGGCAATGGGATGCAGCAATGCGAAGTCTGCAGAAGACAAGAAGGGGCGGGCAATCGAACTTACAAGGAATGCATAAATATCGGAGACGGTATCCAGGCGCTGCTGGAGCTCTACACCGCATTTTTCGAAGGGTGAGATGAGCTCCTGAAAGGCGGCACGATCGTAGATGGTCTTGTGCTTCTTCTCCCGCGAAAAATCTCTCAGGGTCTTGAGCGTCTTTGAGATGCTCGCGTGCAAAATCGCGAATGCCGCGAAGTGATCTCCCATCTCTCCGCGTCGTTTGCCTCTGCCTCAATCTGCACTCTCTTCTGCCCTCCCTCTCGCTGTACGTCCAAGCAGCAAAGGCAGCAGAGTTGCAGTTCTTGTCGTGTTGCTTGCCTGCAAAATGATAACAGATTAGCCTAAAATAACGGTTAAAATCTGACATGTCCGCCTGAACTCTCAGTTTCGCGCAGAAATGTCAAACATGTGCAATTCCTGTTGGCTTACTCTCGACCAACAGCACAACTCACTCGACAAGACAGAGCAACAAACAAGATGTTCGGCC